AATAAAAAAAACTTATTTCAAAGAAATAATTTTGTTAATAAGTAATTTCTATAGACAATTTGAAAAAGAATGGAGGCAGAACAAAATTTTCTAAAAAATAATTACCATTTTGCAAGGTTTTTTTTCATACAGGTAATGAATGCTATACAAAGTTGGATAGCTCATTATTCTGATTGAATTAATAACAACAAATAATTTGTAATAGGTTTTTTTTTGAATTTAAAATAATAAAATTCATTGTTTATTTATAAAAATAGCTGAGAATTACTATTAAAACTAGCTACATTTTTTTTTGTAGTGTTGCAATTCTATTAATTTTTTTACAAAATTCATATATGTATTTTGTGTGGAATCCACAGCTCCTCAAGAGTAAACTATTTATTTTAATATAAGAGAAAATTTTTACATTTTTGAAAAAACCAAGTTCCTATCTACAAAGTTGCATGATTTCATGTGACTTTGCATAATAAAAGTACAAAATTCCATAGTATGCAACTTTTGTCACTTGATACATTTTCTTAAATTTATATATGTTGATCGCCCGGTTTTAATTAGTGAGTTTCTATCATTGATTGGCAGACCACGAATTAAGGATAAGCTCTCAGGCAACCTAGACATAAGGAAACTTAAAGATGAACCACAATACAAAGAAGAATATGAAAAGGCAACGAGAGATTTCAATAAAGTGATTAAATGTTGGATATGCAAGAAAGGATTCCAAGATCCTAATAAGGAAAAACTTGCAGAAGGAAAATTGATTAAAATCAATGGTGCAAAAGATTACTGATATTAAAAAAAGAAAAAAAGCTATGGATACTGCAATGACAATGATCCGAGACACTAGAGGATTTACAAAAGTCTGGGATCATGATCATATCTCTGGAAAATACCAAGGAGCAGCACATTTTGGATGTAATCTTAAACTAAAAATAGATCCAGTAAGAGATCAAATTTGAGTTATATTCCATAACTTCAGAGGATATGATTCACATTTAATATGTCAATCAGCAGGTAA